TCACCGCGTTTTCCTCTCGAGTCGTCTTCGTAATATCAACAAGTCGGGACTGACAGAGACGCACAGAAGTGTCTGTGTCCTGCCGGAGCTGAAATTACAGATAAAAACACCATGTGAGTCAGGAAGATGTTTCCTTCCGGAGCTGTGCAACTTTTCACACCGTGGATGACTCAACACTCAGATTCGCGGTATATGATACATGGGAGGATGCACAATTTAAATGAGCATGCAGTTCTCCCGGTGTTACTTTGGCTGTATCCGCTGGGGTGAAACGTTCAAGGGTTACTGGAAGTTCATGTGCTCATGAAAAACAAAATGTCATCTAAATGTTAAAGCCTCCCTCCAGTAACCTCACAAACACCTCTGACATGTTCCAACAAGCTCGAGTAAATCAATGCTATACATGGAAAAAAAATGATGTTGTTAATTGAAATGGTCACAGCCGAGGGTCTCCTTTTTACTCCCCAGTCAGTCCAACCAAACGTCATTGTGATGAGGAGTAGAGCTAGTGGAGATAAGTCAACCTCTCCGAGATGGATGCTTTTCAGAGGAGCTTTGAAAATTGAATGCAGTCACTGAAAATAGCTCTGAGGAGAGTTTAAGTGTGTTTTGAATTTTTTTTTTTTTCTTCTTCTTCTTCTTCTTCTGTCACCAAAGCACACAGAACCTCACATTCATTTTCATCACAGATTTATTGTAAATAGGACACAGAGCCCGGTGGGTGTCAGGAATCTTTCAGTCTTAAAATTGTTATTCACAAAAACTAAGCTGCTTTTGGAGCTCGCCACGGGTGCAGACGGGTGCACAGTAAATGATCTTATGAAAGGTTGGCAAATTAATGTGCAACGATCAAATCATGAACTGATTAATGATAATTAACGGGTGGCGAGGTAGTGGCTGGAAAAATTCTGAATCAAGCATGACATCAAAGATAATGATAGGTTTCTGACAGGCCATGTTAAAGTGACTAAAGAGAGGGAGGGCAAATGAGTTTAGCCACGCTCAGTCCACACTATGAACACCAGAGGGAAGAGTCATGAAATGCCTCAGCTAATTACAAGTGCCCAGTATTAGGAATGGACATGTTAAGGACAGGGCTTCCCAACCTTTTCCAACTCATGGTCCACATGGCAATGTGGAGCACTTTATATTTTAATGATAACAATTAAACATTCAGGACTGAGCTGAAAGCAGGGGAAGCTCAATATTTCTTCTTCTTTGACTGAGGAGAGATCACTTGACGATACACAATCGGCCTCTTAAATCTCTTCCCTTTTAACTCTTCCTGTTGCTGACCAGCTATCCATTTTGATTCTCCAGTTTTTGCCATGGATGTGATCTTTTAGCACGCAATCAGACTGAGACAGCAAACAAGTATATGATCCGGCGGTCCAGCAGCAACATAAAATTTCCTCTCATTGGCTTATCGCTGTGAAAGGCTTTAACAAGAGAAAATAAAAAGGAGATTTTTCAACTTTTTTTAGTTGATGTTCTTAAAGATAATTTTCTTTTAAAACATTTAAAAACATTATTTATATATACTTTTTTTATAGAAATAATTACATCTTTTCACCATAATTGTACTGTTGTACTGTGCAAATGCTCCGTGGCCCAATTGCAATACCTTCGTGGCCCACCAGTGGGCCCCAGCCCACAGGTTGGGAACCACTGGTTTAGGGGATTTCATGGCTATATAGCGACACTTATTGTCACACTTGTTATTAACATAACTCTATGTCTGTGTCTGAAATCACTCACTACTCCCTACACAGTCCACTGTATAGTGCGTTTGCCATTTTGTAGTGCTGTCTGAATGTATAGTGAGAATTATTATACTCTATATAGTGGACTCATAGTATCCCACAATGCATTGTGAAAAGTAAGCAAGCACGCTAAAAGACAATAAAACGGTGCGGGGAAATGACCTGAGCAGTGTCCGACAGTGTTCTTACCCACGAGCTCACTGTACAGTCCTCTACATAGATCTGCATCATGGACAGTGAGCAGAGAGGAGTCAATGAGTGAGCGATTTCAGACACAACCTAGGTCTCTAGGTCTCTAGGTCTCTAGGTCTCTAGGTCTCTAATCTAGGTCTTGTTGCAGTGGTGATGTTTATTGTGCATCAGTAGACGGAGTGATAGCCACTGTGATGACACTTCTAAATGTAACGATGAAGAAAATTAAATTTTACTTCATCCTGATTTGTCACTTAATGCTCCTCGGCTGATATAATTAAAAATCCTTAACTGCTTCCCTACAGAGGTGTTTTAAGTTATTCTGGCTGATTAGACGTCTGCCGAGGGTGAAGCTGAAGCTCTGGAAGGACTGCAGGGGGCCATCAAACTTCATGTACTTACGATAAGAATGAAAAACAGATGAAATAGACAGAAAATAGAGCGGGCATTTTCACAGAGCTAATAACCTTAATGAAGGCTCAGCTCAGTCAAGTGTTCCCGCAGCATGAACAATGCCAGGACCTTCACACTGGCACACTTGGATGCATTTACACTTAGTTATGAATGTGATTAGTTACACCTGTGCGCTTCCTGCCATGACAAGTCAAACTATCTGCTTGAAAACATTCTCATACAATAAAACCGAGAGGAGTAACGACAGATGTCGATCAGTCGTGGTCTGTATGAGAGAGAGGACTTAATCAAGCAAAATGTAGACACGTGTAGGAGAACCATGAGTGTGTGGCAGATACCTGTAACTGTTCATCCATCCTTCCATCTTCTGCTGCTTCTCTGAGGTTGAGTCGCTGTGGCAGGAAGTCCAGCAAACCGGTCCAGACGTAACCGCCCCCAACAACATTCCTCTGCTCCTCCTGAGGGATCCCCAGGCGTCCCCAGGCCAGATGAGATATATCATTTCTCCAGCACGTGCTGGGGCTGCCTGGAGGTCTCCTACCAGTTGGAGGTGCATGGAGGACCTCCATTGGGAGGCACCCAGGAGGATCCTAACCAGACTGATTAATGGCTGAGTTAGCCTGGGGCTTGACCTTACTGACTCCACTCACCTACTACTATTTATCTATGGACCATTATAGCTACGCTAGCTAAGCAGAACTCGTTCGTTGTCTGTGTTTTTTGTTTTTCCGACTACGTGTCGTATCTGCTCTTTTACACAAATAAAGTTCCTGGTAGATCAATAATGATAATTTGAGTTTGAGTTTGAGATGCTCGAACCTCCTCAGCTGGCTCCTTCCCACGAGAAAGAGTAGCGGCTCTACTCCGAGCTCCCTCCAGATGTCAGAGCTCCTCACCCTATCTATAACAGTGAGCCCAGCCACTCTACAGTGGAAACTCATTTCAGCCGCTTGTATCTGCAATATAATTCTTTCGGTCACCACCCAGAGCTCATGACCATAGGTGAGGGTCGGAACAAAGATCGACTGGTAATAGAGAGCTTTGCCTTCCGGCTCAGTTCCCTCCTCCCCACAGCAGCCCGGTATAACACCCACTTTACTGCCGATGCTGCACCGATCTGCCTGTCAGTCTCCCGCTGCATCCTGCCCTCACTCATGAACACAACCCAGAGATACTTAAACTCTTGTGGCAGAAACTCCATCCCAACCTGAAGAGAGCAATCCACAGTTTTCCGGCAGAGAGCCGTGGCCTCAGACTTGGTGGTAGACAAACTCAGTTGAAGGCAAAAGACACAGTAGTTTGAATGTTCCTCTCTTACTGTACCTCCTTATACTGTAGGACAGACGTTTTGACTTGTAACTAATTACATAAAAACCTAAATGTAATGAGATTCCATGTAGGTTACTGTGTTAGCATGTACACTACCACTACACTCACCTGTGTTCGACAGTCTGCTGTGAAAAAGACTGTAAACAGGCTCCATCCCATAAAGTGTCCTCGTAAAACCACATCAGGGAGTGAGTGAGTCCTGGAACTGTTTCACTGAAATGGAATGCAGCCATCTCTAATGTTACTGATTTCACCTGACCTTTCTCTGCTTTGACAAGTTAAAACGCTCTGATCTGAAAAGGTCGTACAATCAGCTGCACAGGTGTCTGGTGCTTTAGTCCAGATCAAACAGCGCCGCAGACACTTTCTCAAGCTAATGTCCCACTTCTTCTGAAGTAAAATGCCAGCATTCAAACAGTTTCACACCTTAGACTGGGAAGAACTCAGATTTGATGGCGACATTAATCTTATGTTTCGTTCCTTTACATGTACTCTAAAGCCCGTGTGTTCGCTGTGTGGCCAGTAAAATATATAGCAGGAGATAAACGCTTCATGGTTGAGTGTTTAAATGGTATTAAAGGAAACCAAACCATCAACCCCACTACTTGTTCTGCTGCAGGGTGGATCAGTGTGTATCACTGGGGAAGTGCTGCTGCAGGTTGATCGACTGCTGCTTTGTGTTTCACACTGCTGCATCAGCTTCTCCCTGCAACTCCTCAGGTTCTTGGTTTGTCTGGCTCGTATGAATAACCACCTAATGTACTGTGTGTGTGTGTGTTTCTGCTAGTCCACTGGTTCTCAGAGTAGCATTCTCACTTCTCAGTTTCACAGTCCACACTCTATCTCACTGTGCTGCTGCTCAGCATTGTTGGCTCGAAGCGAAGAGAGAAGTCGAGCCACTGAAAGAGTTACAGGGTGAGAAGTAAGGGCTGTATTTTTCCTCATTCATGCACTAATTATACTGCACTGAATGCTAACACTGATACTGACAAGTAGAGCATGTGCATATCTGCTGAAAACAGTGTTGTATGCAGAAGACAGCTAAGTGTAATGATGTGGCTGCGTTAGGAGCATTATCCCAGTATTAAAGAGATGTTGAAAGTCAGGTTTCCCTTTGAACTGAAATCCCCTTAATGATGATACATCTTATTTATCATTATAAGCACCCATCTTAGTGTTTCTCTCTTTGTTCCTTTTCTCTCTCTCTCTCTCTCTCTCTATCTCTCACACACACACACAAACACACACACACTCTAATCCTCTCATTACGAGCCTAATGCATCTGTTTCCGTCCCACTTCAGGGATACACTACCGCAAGTCCTGCGCCTCATCAGGAGCTTGTCTCATCGCTTCTTCCGGCTACCAGCAGTTCTGCACCGGCAAGCTCAACTCAGTGTGCATCACCTGCTGCAACACACCGCTGTGTAACGGACCGCGCCAGAAGAAACGACCACAACCGTCCGCTGCCATCGCCCTGACCCCGCCACGGCTCCCCGCGTTTACTCTCTGCGTCCTCCTCCTGCTGTCCTCCGCCCTGTGCTGACAGACCTTCATTAACTGAGTTAAGATGTGCATTTAAAAAAAAAAAAAAAATGCTCTGCTGCCGACAGCGGGGAAGACATGAACCAGAACTGTGTAAGCTGAGATGTACAGTACATACTTCAAAATGTATATTCTCTAAGGCGCGTGGAAGCTGTGTACAGTATTTGTTTTCCTCACTCCCCTGCTTTCTGTCGCAGCTTGCCTCCAAAGTTCAAACACCACGCAGCACTGGGAAGTTTCATCATCAAAAAAAAAAAAAACTGCATCTGCTGCTGCAAGTGGCGCGGGGTAAGGTGAGGTGGAGGACAGAGCCGTGGATGACACCGCTTCTAGCTATTTATTGGACAGCAGGTGGCTCATCCTCGTTTGTCTTTATTTATTTACACTGCAAGGTCAAATGAGGCATATGGCAGGAAAGAAAAAGTAAGACCAGATTCATCGCTCATTCTCCCAGCCTTAGGAAAAGATCTCCAGATTAAATAAGTCCATGATTAACAATCGCCAGGTTTGCAGTTTATTTATGAACTGAATAAGACTCATGTATGATATGTATGACAATGATGTTGTTTAATGAGTCCGGAAACAAAGGTGTGCAGTCATGGAATGAGGGAGCGGATGAAGGAGGATGCAGCCCTCAAGCCTCTCACAGGTACAACATAATTTCATCAGAGTGACAGCTCTGCAATAACCAGCTGTGGAAGCCATAAAAAAAACATCCTGTTTTAGCCTGAAACTTTTCTCTGCTTATTCTGTAACAGCTGTTGCAGTCGGCTCACAGATATTGTACATAGAGCTACAAGAGCATGCTGAAATACACAGAAACCTTTTTTTGCATTGCATTGAAAGGGACACGGAGAGTGGCTGTCAGTGACTGATGGACCACGCCAACTTTTTGGGAGTTTTGCCCTGCAGTCACTTTAGAGAGAGACTATACGACACTGAAAGAATATCTGAAGTTATCCTTTATGACAGGAGGTAATGTTATTACTGAAAATCTAATTGTAAGAGTCACTTGCTTTTGCCGTGGTTAAAGTTAAAATATGAAAAATGTGTTTCCTGCAGATTTGAGCATTTCTTTGGACTGAACCGAACCTTAAAGGTACCCTGCGTTTCCTTGTAAATAAACAGTTATGTTTACATTCAGTGTGTCTCACAAAAAGGTATTGTGTGTATCCTTGAGGTCCAACAGACATGTGAACATGAACGTGTCCCTGCCGTCCTGTCTTCCATCTGCATTGCTATGTTTCTTGGGGTTTAAGCGCCATCAGCCATTATGCTTATTGTATGGGAGACTGTCCTCTAAAGGATCACGGCAACAGTTTCAGCCAGTGCCGTAGAACAATACATGTTTACCTTATAGTGACATAGCCCCTGGTGGCATGGACAAACAACATATTTTGTTGTTTAATTTAGAGGACTTGAGTATCTAATACATAAACTCTCCGACAACAACATGCAGGACACTACTACTACTTTATTTATTATATAAGTATCAACCTAGTGTACATGGGGAAATCTCCTTCATCGGGAAATAATTGGTTATTCACTCAAGGCACAGAATAGTTCATTCCAATGAAAGTTGTGCACTGTTTGCATATAAATAATTCAGGCTTACTCTGACTCACTCATTTTTTGGCCCATGGTGAATTCCTGCTGTCTCGCCGAAGCTTTTTTCTTATTTACTTCTCTTCTTGACGTTTCCAAGTTAATTGGACCTAGAGGGTCACATTCTGATAATACAGAGAGAGATTTCTGAGGTTTATGAGGCTCATTTAATTATATTAACCATTTTATAGCCGCTCATTTTATAATGAATGTGTAAAGGGAAAAGTCTCTTTGGGACCAGCTGTTCCTGAAGTCACGCATGCACCATGCATTCACACTTCCACCCTCTGCAGTCAACAGGAAAGCATAATGTGTCACCATCAAGTTCATGAGTGTGTATATGAGTGTGTATATGAGTGTGTATATGCGTCCTCGTGCAATATTGTCGAGTAGGAGATGTTCTATAATATACTTACACACGTTCACTGTTTCTGTGAGTGTATATTTTGCAACATGCTTGAAAATGAGACGATACATGAATTAAATTTGAATTCAAATTCAGTTTGCAATTTGAACATATATGCAGAGATCACAAGGACCTGCACATCAAAACAACGCTCCACGGCATCACAGCATGGTCAGAAAACGCCATTGTTTCCCTCCAACGTTAACGCAACCTGTGGGGTCTTCATGCTTAACTGAATCTTTGAGTTTTTGTAAAATAATTTTCTGGCTTGATAGTAATATCACATTCACATAGTTAAAGTGATGGTTCTGGGTATTTGGCGTGGGGTTGTGTGAGGTTGTGCGTAGTGATACGGTAGTTCAAACGGTTCACAGCTGTAGTTCTAAAGTGAGAGGCTGTTTGATGGAGGTAAAGTGGTGAAAATATTCAAAAATAAAACGTACACTTAAACTGATACTGATCTTTTTTTTTCTGTGGGAATTTTTTAAAGTGGCTAAAACACATTTTTGCTGATGGCCCCGTCCACAGCAGCTCATCACTCAGCTTCTGTACCGGAGCTCCTGCTGCTTCTCTAGTAAATAGATAAGTACCTCACACAACCCCACATCAAATAACCCAAACTATCACTTTAATGTGAGTTGTGCCATTATGCTTTTTATTGTGCCGACGTGTCAGCTGAGTGTGATCTATCCCTGACTTAACACTTTGTACTGTGTTTACTGTGTATAAGGAATATCTCTCTATTTGTTTCTAACGGCAGAGTACAGGCGTCCTTGAATTCCTCCATGTTTGTTTTTACTGTTTACTGTGTTGCATTAAATTGTACAGCACATTATATTTCACTCTCTGACGGTTCGTCTGTCTTTATTTTGACTGTGTCTGCCTCTTCAATGAGGCTGAGGGATGTCTGGGTATTTGAAGCCACTCCCGAGTCACTCTGAAAGGTTGTAAAAGTGGGAGGAGTTTTCTCCTGCGGGAGGGTGGTGCGTTTTGCGCTGCTTCGACGAAACGACTTTATCAGCAGGGGCCGGAGGGAGCGCGCTGAGGCAGCGTTGGTCTTCTGCAAGGTGCGCTTGTTCACGTGTTCGATGGTGAGGTGGCAACGAAGGACCTGGACAAAGACCTCCCTGAACTGTCTGGAGGACAGGTTATAAAGGAAAGGGTTGATGACAGAGCTGAGGTAGAAGAAGGTGTCAGCCACAGGGTGAAGTTTGACGTAGCTCTGGAAGTAGGAAGTTGACCAGTGCGACTTGGGTATGGCGGCCATCATAAGGCGACGAATCTGGTTGGGAAGCCAGCAGACCGTCAAGGATCCCACGATGAGACCTGAAGGAAAGTCAGAGGCACATTTATGATAATATTTAACACTAATCTGTTTTCCTGCTCAGAATATTGTTACTGTTCTGATATCTGTCTGTTAAACATATGGCTGCAAGACCTGGGACCTGTTAGCCTACCTCAATATAAAGACTGGAAACACAGGAAAACAGCAAACATATAATATCTTTTTTATTAATTGCAAAGAAACCCACTAGATGTTTCAGGGTGTTGTGTGCTGGGCTATTTCCTGTCCAGGTGCAGCAACTTCCTGGAGTCTGGTTGTCACAGAGACATTACCAGAGCAACAAAGACTTTACTCATGAACAGAGCCAATATAGCTGTAAAATAACTTGTCATTTTTGAGTGGATTCAACAAACCCAATACATAATGTGTTGATTAGTGAGTTTAACCGGTGCTTTGGACAGAGTCTGGCGTTTTTGTTTCCCCCTGCTTTAAGTAAATAAAACAAGAAAGAACAAGATTCTATTGGACAGTTGTGCTTTAGTTTTTGTTTCTAAAAACACACACCCGAGCAGGTAGAGGTTCATGATACATCGTGCTGATGGACACATTGACCTATCTATGCAGTGTGTATACGTGTTAGGTGTTCTGTGGCTCCGCTTGTGTGAGGAGATCTTCAATAGGAAGGCCGATAGTAGATTTGATTTTACAGTCAATGCAAAATTGCATAATAATGTTTTTGTCACATTATCTAAACGCATCAGAAACCAGCAGTTGGCTGCCACAGTCTGTTTGGCTTTTTGCCTAGTATCTTTGAAAATCATTAATTATCACTTCTTACACAGGGCATCAGTTCACTAAGGTGTTTTATCCTCCCAGACTAATTTTACTTCATCTTTAATGAGGTGATGTATGAACTCTCAGCAGTTGTGCACCTCCTGTACAACGAAACAGGTTTGTTCCTGAAGCTTTGACATCAGTTTCCTCCAGGTTGTTTTTGTTCTTGGCTGATTTAAATGAACATGATTGAAACCAGGCTCATCATAGCTGCTGATATTTTTTCCCTCCCATTCTGATCCTATTTCCAACTGTACCGCAGGGGCCTCCAAAAAATTACCAAACATTAACCACAGTGCCTGCACTAGGCACCTTTGGCTACATTTTATTTTACCACTTATTCAGAAACATTCAACCTCCAGGACACAGGACTGCCTGCACCAGCCTGCTGACATATCTCATCTGTCACATCTGAGTCATGTGCTTACTCCTTAGCAGTCCTAACAGTCTGATCTGGTGTTTATCCATTTCCTGCAGTGTTTTTAATGGGGAAATACACTGTGAGCAAACAGCCTTTCAAGATTCACAGAATTGTCTGGCTTAAGAGATCACTTCCTGTTGAGGAACACAGATATCAACATGTTTATTTATAATGCTCCTTCCAAGATGACTGAGGGAAATATTTATTCTTCTTATTCTTTATGCTTTACTAAGAGACAAATCTATGTGGTATAAAACTCCAATCCTCCAACCTAAAGGACCATGTAGGCCCTACACTCAGATGTGACCCATAAGAGTGTAACAGTGGCAGGCATACCAGACCTTTGCTGTCATGGTAACAACAATAAACATGTGGTTTACATTGTGGAATGGTCATGGTTTGTTTAGGTTTAGGCACAAAAACTACTTAAGTGTAGGAGTTAGAATAAATACGTCCTTAAGGTTGGAGGACCTGTGTCGTCACAGTTACAGTAATAAACGTGGTAAAGATTGGAGAATGATCATGAACAAAGACGCTATTTCTAAGTTTTTCTCAGTGGTGGTAGTGATTGTGGCTTGACAAGAGCTTCAGTGCGTTTACAAGACAGTGAGTCGGAACATGAGGAGATGGGCTGGGCCTAGCCGGTTAGCATGCTAACTAACATAGAAGAAAAGACATGATAGAGACAAGAGTTAACATTGGTGTTGCTGGAGAAAGCTGTTGGTGAGTAAAGTAATAAAGTTTGATGCTGAACTCACAACGTTTCTTCTAAACTTATAAGTAAATGGCTGTTAAAGCTGATGTTGGCTATGTGGCAATAGCAAAACTTACAAATAGCTTATTTGAAAGATACTATGTTGATTATCGGCTTCACGCAGGAAACAAACACTACTGTCCTGCGTCAAAGTCCTGTGTTTTGTCGACCCATCCATCCACCCCAACCACTTCCTAACATGGGACATTTATACTACGTCCCCTAACTTCCTTCTGTACTCCCGTCATAATTACTACAACCACCGGATTTACCTTCTACTGTTTATTAGTAGTGATAGGGAAGGGCAAATTTTGGTCCTTGGTTCTGTTCCCATGGACGTAGTGAGTCTCATTTTGTGCTAATATCAACTTTCAGTTCATCATGGCTGCCCATTTCTGGGGAAGGATCCAGGGACAGAGTTACCACTGATGACATCAAGGCCATGTCTTTGTTAATTTCATGGAAACTTGGGGATTTTAGCAACTTGAGGTGCAGTTTAAGTATGCTTTGTTTTTTGTCTATTTGTTTTTTGGGTTTTTTTGGACTGCATTGACTCCATTTTAATGACTCAGAAGTGCAGCAAACACTGGGTATGTCTGAACGCAAGCAATTTTGTCAGTAAATTGCTTCCCCTGGAGAAAAACACAGGAGCTTCTTGGTGTTTTTCAGTCATTATGAATAGTTCTACCATATCTGGAGGCCAAAAAAAACATCTAGGTAAATAGTCATGGCCCTCGGTCCTCAGAGGATGAATCCTAATGACTTTGGTGAGGTCCCAACAACCCTGGTAGATATTCATGATCACCACAAAATAACTTCGTGCTAGAGGAAAAGTCAAAAAATCACCATAATCAAGTCAAATTTTTTATTTGTCCAAAACTTTGGTTGATAACTAAATACCTGCAAAACTAATGACATTCCCATCAGCCTCTGTTGCACTTTGTACGTGGCGCAAATTAGCAAACGTTAGCATGCTAACAAGCAAAAATAAGATGAACATGGTAAACACTAAACCTCATTGTGAGCATGTTAGCATGCTGACATTTATCTCAAAGCACCACTGGGCATATGTACATCCTCATAGAGGTGTTAGCATGGCTATAAAACAGTCTCCAGTTTTCACCACTTGCTTACACATACAGTACATTTTTCACAATGCCATGTAGCCACATGACACATGTCCACATGTCCCAGCATATGCAATCACAGTTTCGGTGTGGGGCCAGAGGCTCGTCCATCAGCCTGCTAATGTGACTCGAGCCTGCTAGCCATTAGAAAGGATCAGACCCATTTCCAGAGCAAAGTACCGTATGCTGTTGCTTAGCAGCAGCATCATCAACACAGGTTTAGATTTGGCCCGGTGGCATTTAAGCAACCCAAACAAGAGGTTAAGAAAAACTGATGCAAACACATATCTCTGCTGTTTGTCTATAGCAAAATAACATCTGTCTGGCTCCAACATGTTTCTACTTTGACCTGTTTCTGCATTGATATTGAACAGTTAATTAATGATTAATTAATATCATTTTTGCAAGATTGCTTCTATTTAAAGTTTTCAGTAATTGAAAATAATATGATCCAATGCAATCAGTACACCTGGCATTTTCATTCAGTCACAAGCACATGGAGAATTGTTTTATTGATTGATTTGACAGGCTTCATTAGTGCGTGACATGAGTGAAAATCAGCTGAATTCATGGCAAATTATGGTATGCAAGCTCAGGTAATAGTTTCCTCTCAGAACAGTCTGTCATCTCAGAACTTAGAGACAGAGACAGAAGGTAAATGAACAAGCAGGGACAAAGAAAGGGACAGACCTACTCCTTTAATCAGTGTCGCCATGTGTCATTTTCCCCTGAAGGTTTGATAGATAATTAAAGACACAACGGTAATTTAATGAGTCCCTGTTTGTCAAAGTGTCTGTAAATGTATTCTCCTCTTGACCTTTTCAAAAACCCAAACACTTGGTCAGCCAGTCTCATCCCAACTTTGTGGCTCCATAAGCATTTTCTGTAATTAAATGACAGCTCCACCATTATTTTAATCTATGAGTCCAATAGGAGGCAATGTTCAGGGTGTTATTCAGCATCAGCAGCTGTGACTTGCTGAAATCTGACCAAATCCTGTGGTTGAAAACATCCTGCCAAGCCGACACACGCTCTCATTCCCAACTCATCACGTACTGATAGGACTGGGTATCAAATTTCGATACATTTATTGACTGAAAAAATTGGTTTTATACTATCAAGGATGAAACACTCACAACACAACACAAATTTCAATATCTGAGGAGTAAATGAGTAAATCTCATCAGCGTGAGTGAGCCAATAAGCATGCAGCATGCTTGGACCAAGATGTAATAATGCTGGTGGTCAGTGTTGTGCATGAACACAGTAATTGAGCGAAGTTCATTGAACGCTCTCATTTTTTGGTGAACGATGAACTGAACGAATTTGCAACTAATGAACGTGAACGTAAGCGTTGTTTACTCACGTTAAGAACGCTCACACCAGATGGTGATGGTAGTTTGCCAACTGCCAAAAAACACACCAGAAGAAGAAGAGCTGTTGTGGTTTTACGGCTGCACCCGGCCTGTGTCAGGTGTCTAGTGCTGACAATACAAACAGCACAAATGTTTTAACAATACCCAACCTAACATACAGATGCTTGGTCAGGACCCCCTGGCGTCACTTTTTAACACACTGGATACGCAGTTAGCTTCATTTTTCAATGTGCAGAGTCAACATATTTTTTGAATGGATGAATGTGAAAGTGCTACAGAGAACCAGGATTCAGATCCAGAGTTCTGTCTCTGCGCTCTTGTTAAGGTTAGATTGTGGTTTTGGTCTTCGATTTACTTGACTCGTGTCAACTTTCAATCCAGCAGAGAACGTGTGAAGAGTACTGGATTTACCCTGTACGGTGCAGACGACTGAGGAGTGAGACTCCTCTGGCCAAGCACAAGGATGTCAGTCTCTTTCTGAAAGGCTCCTCTGCTGAGTATTTAATGGAGCATAACAGACTGTTTAATG